TTTTGGCGAAATTATTGCATACACAGATTTTCACTTGTCCTATATAGCAAGATGAGCGTTGCTATTTAAGCCAAGATCGCAAGTTCTGCCCATTTGGCACGACATATATATATATATATATATATATATATATATATATATATATATATATATTATATATATATAAGATAGATAGATAGATAGGGAGGTACCACCTCTACAGCTGGAATGGGGACCCTCATCTTCACAGAACACAATAAACGTACCTCAGGGAAAACTCAAGGTTCTCCCTGGAGCTGCTTGAATATTTTCTTCTCCTACCACTACATATATGAATCAAAATTCTTTACTCACCTGGTAATTGTGCCCCCAAAGGCACCCTTGGAAGAGTGGAAGGAGGAAGCCTCTAAGACGACTCCCTGGGAACTCCAGGAGATGTTTGACGGAGGGATGCTGGAGGAACTCTCACAGGAGATGCTTACTATCTCTCCTGCCTCCACAGTGCTGGGGGAGACCCAGCCTCTCACCTCCCAAGGAGCAACTGGAGGAGAGACAAGATATTATATATATATATATATATATATATATATATATATATATATATATATATATATATTGTAACCACGAACAAGTGGTATTTAATTAATAACAAACTGCGGCTAGCCGGGGGATCGATCCCATGTTGTTTTAGCGCGCCTCGTGCGAAGAGCGAAAATTCAAGATGCCCTAAATCACTGAAGCATACAGTCCTACAAACAATATGAGCCTACACCACACCATCGTATGTCCTCGCAACATGAAGGAAGCCTAGTTCACTAGGCTCATGTTGTTTGTAGGACTGTATGGTACAGTGGTTTAGAGAGGGAGAGAGAGAGGGAGGGAGAGAGAGGGAGGGAGAGAGGAGGAGGAGAGAGAGAGAGAGAGAGAGAGAGAGAGAGAGAGAGAGAGAGGAGAGAGAGAGAGAGAGAGAGAGAGAGAGAGAGAGAGAAGAGAGAGAGAGGAGAGAGGAGACAGAGAGGAGAGAGAGAGAGAGAGAGAGAGAGACAGAGACAGAGAGAGAGAGAGAGAGAGACAGAGACAGAGAGAGAGACAGAGAGAGAGAGAGAAAGAGAGGGCATAAGAAGAGGCACAAATTAGGTGACAGGCGCAGGGAAAGAGAGATAGAGGGGGAGAGGGACAGAGGAGCTAAAAATGGAGAGATCTGAAGGGGAGAAAGAGGAAGATAAATGTGAGAAAGAAAGAAATGAGAGGGAGAGTAGAAAGGGGTTACTGATGATTGAAGGAGGAGGATCATACCTGATGAGAGGGGTGATTTGGTTGGGAAAAGAAAGAAGGTGAAGAGAATGAGGAGGAGGACGGAGATGAAAGAGAGGAAGAGGAGAAGGAAGAGGAGGAGGAGAAGGAGGAGGAAGAAGAAGAGGAGGAGAAGGAGGAGGAGGAGGAGGAGGAGGAGGAGGAGGAGGAGGAGGAGGAGGAGGAGGATGAGGAGTAGGAGAAAAAACTAATAGGAGGAAACTCAGTAAGAAGGAAAATAGAAAGAGAAGGACAAAGCTAAAATAAATTATTGCTCAGGAAACAAGGAGCTAAGATAGGAAATACCTAAGGTAGGATAGATACATTTCAAGATAGACAGAGCTGAAGTGGGATAGGCAGAGCTAAGGTAAAATAGAAGCTCTTAGCTTTTAACTATTGAGATAAAATATTTAAGCTCTTAATTACTAGGATAGTAACTCTTAAAGGCTTGAATAAAGAGCAAAGCTTTTAGACTAAGTAATGAAAGCTCTAAAGTTGAGAGAGAGAGAGAGAGAGAGGATGTTGACAACCAAGTGAAAACCTTCACTGGACACATCCTTAATCTACAACAAGAACACATTCCTCACCGGCAATATGTGACAAAGCCTACAGATCAACCTTGGTTTGGCTTTCGTTGTAGAGAGCCTGCTACTGCTAAGTACAAAGCATGGCGAAGGTATAAGAGACATCCTACCACCTATAACAGGCACTTGCACACGCAAGCCTGTAGGCATATGGGTGACGTTCAAAAGTGGGCCATTGCTAAATGGGAGGTGGACACTAAAAGAAAGCTTGCATCAGGTAGGGTAGGCTCCAAAACCTGGTGGTCCCTGGTCAAGGACAGACAAGGTTATCTGCCTGATGAACTCATTCCACCTCTAAATCGACAGGATGGGACCACCTCTACTAGTAGTCAAGAGAAGGCGGACCTCTTTGCTGAACACTTTGCTACCAAAATGCAAGTTCCTGATCCAGCAAGGGACCCTCCTTGGCTAGCTGCAAGAACTGTGTCAAAACTGTCAGTGGTGACAATAAGGCAGGAGGAGGTGCATTTCCTTCTTAAATCGCTTGACCAAGAAAAGGCTGTGGGCCCAGAGAAGTTGAGCCCAAGATTGCTGAGATGTGCAGACCAGCTAGCAGCACCTCTAACTCGCATCTTTCAGCACTGCCTAGTACAGTGTAAATGGCCCTCTCCATGGAAAGAGGCAAATGTAGTCCCTGTTCTCAAAAAGAAGAGCAGCGCAGAAATCAGCAACTACAGACCAGTGTCACTCCTGTCAATCACTGGTAAGATCCTTGAGACAATAATCTCAAGACAAATGACAGAGTTTTTTGGCTACCACTCACTACTTTGTGATCGTCAATATGGCTTCAGGAAAGGTTACTCTGCTGCTGATCTGTTGTTAAACCTTTCCACTAAGTGGCACCAGTCACTGGATGAATCCAAAGTCAGCTGTGTGGAAGCACTGGACATTGCTGGCGCTTTCGACCGGGTGTGGCACCAGGGCCTCTTAGCAAAACTTCAAGCACTGGGAATTGCAGGCTCTACGTTATGTCTCCTCAGTGATTACCTTCATGGTAGATCTCTAAGTGTAGTTCTCAATGGAACGGAATCAGCAAGACATCCTATTGGGGCAAGTGTTCCACAAGGAAGCGTGTTGGGACCATTGTTATGGAATGTCTACTTCAACGACCTTCTTCATCTCATCCCAGAATCACATGCATATGCAGACGACTGTACACTGACAATCACTTATCCAAGTGAAGAAATGCCAGCTGCTCTAAGCTACATCAATCACCAGCTGAGAGACTATATCAGCTTGGGGAAATAGATGGCAAGTAACAGTTGCACCTGAGAAAACGCAAATGATGATCGTCTCTAGGCACCATGATGGTAATGCTGGTGCAGTAGTAAGGATGAATGGGAGGGTGTTGGCACCTGGAGAAGAAGTTGATATCCTTGGGGTGAAATTTGACTCCAAACTAACCATGAAGAACCACGTTGTAAATCTAGCAAACAAGGCAGCCAGGAAGCTTACAGCACTTCGCCGTATCTCGCATCTGCTTGACAGTAGAGGTTGCAAGATTCTGTACAAGGCACAAGTACGCTCACACCTTGAGTATGCTCCACTTTCTTGGTTTGCCTGCCCCCCCTCTCATTTGCGACTGCTTGACAGAGTGGAGAACAGAGCAAGACGTCTCATCTCTCGCCTGGACCCATCCTGGATAGATCTGTCATTTCAACAGAGCCTTCAACAGAGGAGGGATGTGGGTGGCCTTACTGTTATGTACAAGGCCAATATTGTCAAAGTACCACACTTGGATCCACTTCGAGGACAGCGTGAAACAAGCTTTTATGCCACAAGACGGGCAGAAAGCAGGAATTTCACTCTGGCTGTACCCTTCTCCAGAACATCACTCCATCTGAGATCATACATACCCAGGATGACTCAAGTATGGAACACATTCGTACAGCATTATGATGTCAAGCGAGATAAAGACAGTTGATCAAATAAAATGCCAGGGCCACAGATGGCTCCAACTTCATCCTGTTCCCTACTTTGTATGTCTCATAACAATAAAAATGCTTTCAATGAGCTGATGTAGGTAACAGCTCTTAGCTTGCCAATAAAGTTAGGGATCCTTAACTGTAAATAGCTTGTCATAAAGCAAGGGATCTTTAAACCTAGTCCAACCCTGTGTAAAGAGAGAGAAGAAGAGGAGTAGAGAGAGAGATGAGTAGAGAGAGAGAGAGAGAGAGAGAGAGAGAGAGAGAGAGAGAAGAGAGGAGAGAGAGAAGAGAACAAAAGTGTTTCAATATACACTGAGCAAAAGTCTTGTGTCTCGCTCTATGAGATTAACTCGACTTTGTCTCTTTTTTTCCTTTTCATCTCTTTCATGTCCTGTTCATGATCCTCTCTTGTTCAGGAGAAATGTTCACTACGTTCTCTTTTTCCTGTTTATTGTTACTGAGGCGCTGTCTAAATACTGTCTTTAGTGTGAATGGTTAATGCTTAGACTCTCTCTCTCTCTCTCTCTCTCTCCTCTCTCTCGCTCGTCTCTCTCTTTCCATCTCTCTCTCTCTCCTCTCTGGTGAGTGTGTGTGTGTACTCACGTAATTGTAATTGTGGTTGCAGGGGTCGAGTCACAGCTCCGTGTCCCGCCTCTTAACTGATCACTACTAGGTCAACTCTCTCTGCTCCATGAGCTTTATCGTACCTCTTTTTAAAGCTATGTATGGATCCTGCCTCCACTACATCACTTCCCAGACTATTCCACTTCTTGACAACTATATGACTGAAGAAATACTTCCTAACATCCCTGTGACTCATCTGAGTTTTCAACTTCCAATTGTGATCCCTTGTGGAATGCTGTGTCCCATCACAGGAACATTCCTGTCTCTGTCCACTTATCATTCCCACTCAGTATTTTTAATCGTTTATCATTACATCCCATCCCTCCTTGCCTCCAGTGTCGTCAGGTCGAGTTCCTTTAATATTTCCTCGTAGGACATACCCCTTAGCTCCGGGACTAGTCTAGTTGCAAACCTTTGAACTTTCTTTAGTTTCCTGACGTGCTAAACCGGGTGTGGGTTCCAAACTGGTGCTGCATACTCAAATATACGCCTGATGTACACAGTGTTTAGTGTCCTGAACGACTCCTTACTGAAATGTCGTAATGCTATTCTTAGGGTCACTAGTCACCCATATGCTGCAGCATATGGGTGACTATCACCCTTTTTTTTTTAAATATAGGCACAATAGGTACTATCTTCCAAGTGTTGGATAATTTCCGTTTTGTATTGAATTTGTAAAAATTTTCCAAAGTTGATATCATAATTCTTTTGCAAGTTCTTTAAAGACTTAAGTTGCTATCCTGTCTTGTCTTACTTGATGGAAATTCTGGTTAATTTTTCGGAGAATTAATTTCTCCACCCTCCAGTGATTTTTGGCCGAGAGAGAGAGAGACAGAGAGAGAGAGAGAGAGAGAGAGAGAGAGATAGAGAAGAGAGAGAGAGAGAGAGAGAGAGAGAGGGAAGAACAGACAGAAGCAGACAGACATACAGACATTCATAGAGACACAGACAGACGGACAGTCACATACAATCAACAGACAGACAGACAGACAGACACAAACAGACATACAGACAGGACGGACATACATACAGATAGGCAACAGACCAGACAACAACAGACAATAACAAACAGACCATACAGACAGATAGGCAGACAGACAGACAGACAGACA